ACCAAACTTAATTTATAATTTTATTTTTTGTATGAATTTGATTTTATGTTAATTGAAGTCAGCCAAATAACAATTATTTTGGATATTATTTTAATTTTTGACTTTAAGAAAAAAATATATGTAGTTGCACTTTGTAGTTATTTAGAAATGTACTTGATTGACAAATTATTGCCAAATCGTAAATGTACAAGTTAAAAGCTTTCTTAAAGTGTGATTGAACCACATTATTTTGAAAAAATGTATTCTGCAATAATAAATTGATAGAGAATTTATGATTGAAAAAGAAGGAAAAGTTATTGATGTGATAGAAAATATTATTTTATTGAAAAATGTGTGGTTGAAGATGAGTAAAATAATGAGAATGAAAATTTTAATGTGTACCAAACAGGGAATTACGTTTCGATTTTAAAGGGCTAGTTGTAATGGACTTGAAATCTTACTCCAAATGGGTCTTCGTCGATCTTTAATTCTTCAATCAACGTATAAGAAATTCCAAAGTTGCCTGTCCCACTTTTATTCACATCTTTAATATCAAATTAATGCAACGACACTGAATAAAAAAAATATAATTTAATTATTATAAATTTGTCATTTCATTACTGGAAAGCTATATTATACGCACAGTATCCAACAGTTACTTGGGCGATTTCATTTCAAAAATAGTGTAATCCACAGCTTAAGTTATGGGATTATTTACCAAACATGCCCTTAAAATTGAGCACGAGATTTGCTCTCTGTATAGCCTCTCATTTTTTAACTCTCATTTCATCGATTTTTATTAAAATTTATTAAAAATCTAATTTTCAACTAAATCAAACCTTCTTAATCTCACGTTCTTGGTTTTATAATGTGTGTAACACATAGGTATTCAAAAAGTTTTATTATGTGAAACGCTATAGACGCATAAAATGCATCTAGCATTGGGCTCCATTTAAAAATGTATTTTGGAAAAAAATACATTTTTTAATAGTAATATTTTAGAAAATGTATGTTTAAAAAATAAGGAAATTTTTTGAATTTTGGTATGATATTATTTTATTGAAAAATATGTGGTTAAGAATAAAAAAGAGAACAAAGTATTTGTCGGGAGGAGGTTCAACAAGATTAGCTCAATAACAACAACATATGCACGAATAGACTAACAAAGACAGTAAAAAAAAATGGAACTCCATTAAACGTTGCCCTAAAGTCAAACGAATATTAAACTTTGATAAAAAAATAATTTTTTAGGAAACAATTTTTTTTCCTTTTTTTTTTTTTTTTTTTATTTTTTGGTAATGGAAA